TATATATTTTTATTATATATATTTATTCTTTATATATGTATGTACACACACACACACACACACACACCATTATTTGTATTAGATATAGTTTCTGTTACTGTCTGTTAGTAAAGAAAAAGAAAAGACATCTGCTTTGTTTGAAAGACCTGAGAAAGCTCATAGTGATTCTCTTCCTAGCCATTTTGTTCCTGATTACCACTGAACTTTGATTTCCAATATCTTGATGAAAATGAAAAAGGGCCCGGGTTTTCTTAGCAGGACTCTTGTATTAATTGGTGGGCTGTGTCTGCAACTGAAGTCTTATCTTGATTTATTAAATATCACCTTGTTAATGCTTCACATGCTTTATACTGCCAAGTGGCTGCAAAGAAAATTTCTTGGCAAAGGAACACAATAAATGGTATTTGCAACTCTTAGAGTGTGGAGGATGTCTTCTGTCTGGGATTGTTATTACCATGTTTGTTCACAATGTTTCTCTCCCTGATAATCACACAGTAGGGTTCCTTTTGTAAGCTCTTCTATCCTGCTCTGCTTATTACACAGTTTTGCTCCTTCTCATGGTAATAATTCTACTCAAAACCACATGTTGGCTTTCCTCCTGAACCTATAGAAAACATGCCTGCTTTGGCATGAAGTGGAACTTCTTGTCTTTTCTGGAGAGTCAAGATGCCTTGGGCCAGTTTCAGTTCTTAATATTGCTTTTTCCACACCACATACATGCACACACATACACACACACCCCTCAGAAGGCACCTGCCTGGTCAAACCTGTCCCCCTCCTGTACCTTCCCTTCTTAATCTCTGCTTGATCTCGTGAGCAGTAAGACACTAAGCTCCATCTTTCCTGACTGACTTTAGACACCTTTCCTGGAACATAAGAGTAAATTCTTTGACTTAATAACATAGTCAAAAATGTAGATTTTTCTCCTCTTTAATTTCTCTCCTTATCTCCAAAAGTCATTACTTATGGGGAAGGAAAAATAGCAAGGAACCTAGCGTTCAGTTGCAGAGAATTGGTCAACTGGGTGCATTGTTGCCTTGCATTTTCTTATAGACAGTACACTGTGCGCTATCGAGAAAAGGGGGAATTGGCAAGGTGGGATCACAAGCAGACCTCCAACAGACGCGTGTTGGTCGAGAACCTGATTCCAGACACCATGTATGAATTCGCAGTCCGTATTTCACAGGGTGAAAGAGATGGCAAATGGAGTACATCTGTCTTCCAGAGAACACCAGAATCTGGTCTGTATTTAAAATGGCCTTCGGATCTTCTATTTGGGAATTGCCCTGAAAATAAGATTTAAAGATAGTTTAAGAAGCCAATGGTGATAAAGGGCAGCAGAAGCATTTTTTAAAGTAACATTAACCCTAAATCTGGGAAGTGTTTCTATGTACGAACGCAAAGAAGCTCAGGCACTGTAGGCTTAGGTCCATGTTTATCCTCCACTGGCCATCTTCATTAGCATGTTATTCTGACATGTAGAGTACATTACATCCCAGGATGGAGCATAATCATAAATCACCACTGGATGTGTGCATGCCCCTGGGTAATGCATGGCTCTGGAGGTTAGGGGAGACTCTTTTTCCCTAAGGCTGGGCTTGTGTTTGATTCTGGGGGAGAATTGTGCTCTGTACAATTATTGTCTTTTAAACGATGTCTTTAAAAGCTTTATTAAAAAGAAGTTCCACCTGGATTTTAATCTTTTTTACATATTTCAAAATTCAGCAATGAAAGAAATTCTGAATTTCTAAAGGCATTTCCCTGGATATGTCTAAACTCACTACATGAGTCAGTAGCACTGACATAAATCACTATATTGCACAAAGAGTAATGAGAGTGTAGAATTTTCTGTCATGTATAATAAAAATGAACATTGTAGTGTTTCAGTGAAAAATCTATCTGTAGGGACCATATGTCACTTACTTTTAAAATATCCACAAGGGCATTTTTAAACCTTGGGTCCTTGTCCTTTTGTAGCTCCTACAACAGCTCCTGAAAACTTAAACGTCTGGCCAGTCAACGGCAAACCTACAGTTGTCACTGTAGCTTGGGACGCACTGCCCGAGACCGAGGGGAAAGTGAAAGGTAGGAACCTCATTATTTAAGGTATCAGGTGCACACAGGAGTGACATACCCCAAACAGAGACGTGTACATTGACTCTGATAAACACCAGTTCTAATAGCAGGCTTGGTGACTGGAAGAGCAATAGGGAAGCAACATATGTATATGGGGCGCTAACCCAACGGACAAGGGTATTTCATGTAGGGTTCTCATTGTCAGTAAGATCCAGGTGCTCATGAAGATGACTTTTCATCTTCCCTATCCACAACGATTCCGATGCTGCTATCAGGAAGGGTGTTTTTAATTGTATGGGTGTGACATCATAACCTTTAGCCATACAAGTGACAGCCTTGTGTTTCATGCTATGGATCTTCTCATTGTACCAATAAGATCATGGAATGTGGGAGTAAGTAGGAACTCTGTGGGACCACAAATGTCTTGAATAAGACCAGATATTTAATGGGTTTGAAAACCAAGTAATAAAAATTAAATGAAAATGGATTTTTTCCTATTTATCAGCCTTTTTAATTAATTATTTTTTTGGTTGAGGAAAAAATATGACCTTAAAATAGAAAAAAAAAAACCAGAGATGAAACGGAATTAAAATAGGATAAAATATTCACAGCTAGTTAAATTTAAAAATAATCTGTTGAGGATATTAAATAAAAACACAAATTACTTCTTTTTTTGTGTAAAAACATTCAGGAACTTTCAGAAGTCTTTTCAGAGACATTTAAGAAGGCTGTAGGGTGGTTTTCCCCTGACATTGCCTATACATAGATACCCTAAGGGTACGTTTTATTATTACTTGATTTTGGAAGACAGCTTAAGTCTATGTCCAGAAACTATGAAAGGTCTGTGTAAGCGTAAAGAAATTGAGAAAATTATCACTAACCTCCTTTGAGAATTTCTTAATTGAAAAAACTGAAAGGTTCTCTTGTATTTGACTGTTAAGTTATCTTTGAGGACCTGTAAGGATATCTTTCCATGGAACAATGGAAGTTAGAAGGCAGATGTGGGGTAGTAGTTTCCAAACTTAATGCTTTTTCATCTGCTTGCAGATTTTAAAGAATATATTGTATTATTCTTGCTCATTTTTTCCCCAGTGGAATAAATCAGAAACAAATGAAGAGAAGAAATATTTAGTTGCCCTTTAAATCATCCTTTTTTATGACAGTTTGTTGTGATGCTGGCAAAGATTCTGAAAATTGCATAAAGACATTTTTGGCTGATGACTTTTGTTAGTTATAAAAAAGCAATTGTTGCTCCTTTCATGACTTTATTATCATGCTACTTATTTGCTTTCTTTCCCTCTCCCACATCTTAGTTTATATTTATAGCTCTTTGGCGAATAAACCTCCCTGGTAGTCAATGAAATATTTTCAGAAATAATAATAGCTACTGAGTTTTTGGGTCCAAAAGAACTCATGTATCTTAACCCTACTTAGGCAGTTTTCATAAAGCAGTGGTGGTGGGACTTAAAATTCATAATTACACTGGGGAATTTATATGTATGACAAATATAAAAGATAAAAGAAGAATATAGTTCAACATGGTTGCATTTTTTTCCAGATGAATTGAATTCATAAAAAAATCTGTATTACCAGATTTCATAGACAGTGGGTTCTTTTAATTCTTACTTTTGACCAACACAAATGACTAGTTTGTTCATTTCCAAAAAGAAAAGAATGTGGGTTTTTTTTTTTTTTTCAGACAAATGCTGCAAAGGCATTTTTGGTTGAAGTTTTTTAATTAATGTACTTTTTAAAGATTAGATCTCAGGGAAGAGAAAAGGTCTTCGGTGCTCTCTCCATATGACATAGATAGTATGACAGTTGCTTGGTTTTTCTGTGATTCAAATTATTTTTCATGGTTAGCTCCTCCTCACATTAATTTGATAAGTTTTGTAAATCTTGAGTTCACTGAGAGGAAAATAGACATGACAGTTTTTAGTCGAGGGTGGAAATTCTGCTTCAAAACATGGCTTCCTTACCTTACAGCATTTCCATAGAAGCATAGAGCTATATTAGTTCCTTGGACTGAATTTGCTCTGATTTTCAAAGTTCAGGGGCATTACATGTTTGTAAATATCGCTGATTGGAGATGGAAACATTAAACATCACATAAATCTATGAACTGGCAACTTTTCCTCACAGTTTTAAATACTGTGAAATATCCTTACCCAGATATATTGAGTCAGGACTGTAATTCCTGCAAAAGTGAAATTATACTCCAGATATGGAATTTACCTGGCTTAATGCACAAATAGCCCAGATCAATACACCAAGACTCTTAAAGGTGTTGGTAGCTTTTCAGATTCAGTTATGACTGTTGTCATTTAAATCTTCCATGGCTTCTTCTACTCAGGATATATTAATGCTGACATAGTAAACTAGTAAATAAGCACAATGAAGAAAAACTCCCAATGCTGTGTAAATAGTTTTGGTACATTGTATGAAGACAACGCGTCCTGGGTTCCATATGTTTAATTTGCTGAGAATGGAAAACTGCCCGCGAATTCACCCCATGGCCTTGTCTGGTAGCCTGAATGAATGTTAGTTCACCTTCCTCTGTGTCTTTATGCTCCAGCTGCTGACTTGGCGTGCATTGCTAGAGTATTAATTTTAGTAATGCACGTTCTAATTCATCCTGCCCATACAGTCTGTCTGCTGGACACAGGACTGTTTTCAGTTTACTCCTTCCAACCGTCTGCCAAATCATTTCAGAATACATTCTTTCATACGCCCCGGCTCTCAAACCATTTGGAGCAAAGTCCCTCACCTATCCCGGAGAAACTACTTCTGCCCTAGTGGATGGTCTGCAGCCTGGGGAACGCTATCTTTTCAAAATCCGGGCCGCAAACAGGAGAGGACTGGGTCCTCACTCCAAAGCCTTCATTGTCGCTATGCCAAGTAAGCATTGTGTGTTTGTGGCTCTTTCTCTCTCTCCATTACCGCTAATTGTGGTGTGTTACTTTGAATCATGCTCATGGATTTAGAACTGCTTTGTTGATGATTTGGGGGGCTACATTTTCCTGTTGATTTCTAAAATATTTTTGTTATCCCTTTGGAAATTAGTCTCCCTGGAGGCTAAAAGATTATTGATTGCTAGTCACATGAATTACTATTACAATATTACAGTAACATGAATGTATTAATTATGTGATTGATCTTATATCATTGTGTAATTTGGGGCTTATGATGACAGGTAAAGAGCATTTTTACAGGTGTAAGGTGACATTTTTAATTGTTAGCTCTCTTCAACTTCTAGATAGCACTTAAGATTTTTAGTTTATATTCCATTATTTTGGAGTGCAGGTCTAGTCAGAAGAATTTCAATTACCTCGTTATCTGATCACTATCAAAATGGAGCAGGTTAATAAAATCCCAAATTGGAGTGAGGTGTTTTTGGACTGTATTTTCTTTTCTGCTTCCCCATATTTATACCAGATATTGGTAGCTGTCTCCTGCATGGTGTGCCATGAGGATTCACAGTATACTGCAATATTAAACAGTTCTGTGCTAGAAAAACTGGGATAGATGAGGTTTGCTCCTTCTGGGCCCCCATTGCCATATAACTGCCCCCCCCCCACAGCATCCCTTCCTTCATTCAACCCTGCTTTCAAGAAAGGGTAACTTGTAGGGCCCCTGTAATAAAATGTTTTGCCTACCCCAGGTATCTTTTTAGTTTAGGCTTATTTTGGGATTACAAATGTATCCATTATTAAACAGATTTTAAGTAAGAAAGAGAAAGCAAGTTTAGACATGTTAGGGGGAATAGGAAACTCTTTGTAATGCCTTAAAAATTACAGATTTGTTCCTCACCTGTCACCTGCAAATCACACACAACACATCCCCATTTAGTTTTGAGTATAGATCCTTCAGCACTTTGAGCCAGGCTTATGTGTATTTCTTCCCTACATCACTAAGAGTGGCTATAATACATCTGTAGTATCCTGACAGTTATATGGAGAAAATCTTACATAAGATTTTGCATTCAGAAAATTGATGGATTACTTTAAAGCACTCCTTTCAAAAGTTCTGCAAATAATAAGCTGTAACTTAACTCAATTTATAGAAATTTAATACACATTTTCTGGGACCATATCATCACTTAAAGCAAAAGAGGTCTTTAAAAGAGGTTGCCATAATTTGGAAAATGTGTTCAATGCCTAAAGAATGAGAAGTTATTAATTATAATGACTAATTATAAATGCCTCCACACTGCCATCTGAAATACTCACCTGATGTTTCTCAGCTTTCAATTTTTTTGACGGCAGAATCTTTAAAATCTATTATAGCCAGTTCTGGTGAGTCCAATGTGCAGCAGAAGACCCATGCTGAGGATGACTGGAAATCTGAAAAGCCAGAAGCTTCTCCCAAAGCGCCCACTTCCTCAAAACACACTCATTTGCCTGTTTCTCTGCGAGGCAGAAATGTCAAAAACCCTCTTCTTGACTTGAAGAACAAAATACTGGCTAATGGTGGGATGCCCAGAAAACCCCAGCTTCACCCTAAGAGGACTGAAGGGTTGGATCTTCAGTTGACAGAAATCACCGATGAGGAGGGGCTGGATTCCCGGGGGGACCCACCAATGTTGCCCTCGGAGACCCAAGACCAGAAGCCACAGCAGAGGCCACCAAGTAGATCTGTGTCCCCAGTCCTTGCTCCTGGGAGGACCCCAGTGAGAGTGCTGCCCCAAAAGGAAGGGGCAGACCGGGGTGGCTCCTCTCTGGCTTCCCACCCTCGTCCAGGGGCGTCCTCCTCTGCAGCACACACACCCATTGAGGGTAGCCCTCACCGCCCTCCAGTGGCGCCCTCCACCACCCTGCCCCCCAGCTCTACTGACAATGACTCCGTGGGCCAAGAAGAGGAGGAGCCAGCCGCAGACTCCCGGGACCGCAAGGACGCTGCCTCCCAGCGGCTGCCTCCCAAGAGCACCGCCCAGGCTCGGCCGGCCCTGTGGCCCAGCCGCCAGGCCACCTCGAGCGCCCTGCGGGACAGAGGCCCTGTGCACCACGGCACAAAACCAGCCTTGCCTGCGCGGAGAGCACCCCATTTTGGGGGTAGGGAGGAAAATTCGGGTGCTTCAGTCTCACCCTCGAAACTTTCTCCGCCCCAGGGAGGGTCATCTCGGCTGCTGCCGACAGAGCCACACCCCGGGGCTCCCGTGTCCAGGGGCTGGAAGGATGGTCAGGACGCCCCAGCCCCCAAGTCCAGTGCGCCATCACAGTCCAAGTCTTCCTCGTCTTCTGGTCTCTCCTCAAGGACACCGGTCTCTGAGGGAGAGGATGCCTCTGACGGCGATGGTGACGGTGATACAGAAGTTAGAGGCAGGCAGGCTGAGGCCACGGCCCCCACGTCTCGGGCCCGGCTGCCCGCAGGTCCGCCTGTCTCTGGACATTTCAGTTTGTTCAGAAACAAGCCCTTTGCTGCCCACACGAGATATCCAAGCCGCTTTGGCAGTGGCCGAGGACCCCGGTTGCATCCCTCCAGCTCTCCACCGGCCACCGTAACCCCCAGAGGCCACTGGAGGGTGAATTCTCACCCAGCTTCGGACCCCAGGCATGGCTCCGGTATCCATGGAGACGGCGCCGAGAGCAAAGCAGAGGACGAGAAGCCGCTGCCGGCCGCGGCGATAAACGACCGCGTGTCTTCCTCCTCCAGGCAGCCCGCCTCCCTGGGCGTGGACCACCTAAGAAAAGGCCCGCAGAGAGGGGTGAGCCTTCCTCGGAAGGAGCCCCTGGCCGAGCACCCCAAATCCGCCGGGACCGAGGCAGGTGCGCATCCTCAGGGCAAATCCCTGCCCTCCAAGGCGCTGGATGTTCAACAGAGCACAGAAGTGGGTGTGGAGGGCGGCTCTCCGAAGGCGCAGTTGGCCCCCGCTCCGCGGCCTGCGACGCGGTCCCAGCACCACCCCGGGCCCGGCGTGCCCAAAAGGATGGCACCCGGCCAGGGCCTGGGTGCGGGGGCCGCCGCTTCGGAAGGGCAGCCTTCCCCTGCGGTCTCCGTGTCGCAGCCACAGCCCCAAGGCCCCCCGAGCAAGGAAGTGGGGCGTCCGCTGTCCAAACCCAAGCCCGAGCTGCCCCAGGCTGGGCGTCCCCACCCCGCGGCGCAGGAAAGCGCCTCCTTCTCGGACCCCTACGCGGCCAGAGGCAGTCAGTCCCCGCACACGGCAAGCTCCCGAGGGGTGCTCCCCACGTCTCCGCACCATCGGGACGAGGATTCCGAGGGCAGATCTGGCGGAAACCACCACGACAGCACCGAAGCAGAGGCCCGAGGCTCCCGGGCGCCAGCACACCTGGCCCAGGCCGGGGACCCCATCCTGTCCCTTCCCAAGCACCGCCAGCTGGAGGCTCACGCAGGAGGCGCGGGCGACAGTCATCTCCGCAGACCCCCAGGCTCCCCGCTGAGGCCCGGCAGCCCCCGCCACTACCCCCACGCCCGCCCTAGGGTCCCGGGCCGAGCGGGGCCCCAGGCTGTGGGGAACAAGGACCGCGCTTCTCAGGCCGTGCCGTCCAAAAGGGAGCCCCTGACCTCTAAATCTCAGCAGTCGGTCTCGGCGGAGGAGGAGGGTGAAGACGCGACGTTTTTTAAAAGAGGAAAGGACGAGGACCCTCTGTCCTCCTCTGTTCCAAAGTGGCCCTCCTCCTCCAGTCCCAGGGGCAGCAAATATGTGGATGGGAACATCGCTAAGGACAAGACGGACCCTGCCATTGTGCTCTCGCTTCCCAGGGTGAGCTCCCCCCAGGACAAGAACGACACTCCTGTGAAGCGTCCTCCTCCCCCCCCTCCCAGCAGCTCCCCGAGAGCCTCACACCTCCCGCCCAGACACCCCCACCGCAGCCCTGCCACCCCAAGCCCCACCGCGGGCACCCCTGCCGGCGTGCGGTACACCACCCACGCCCCTCCTGTCTATTCCTCCACCACCCCAATGCTCTCCTTGCGCCAGCGCATGATGAACTCAAGATTCCGGAACCCCTTCTCGCGCCAGCCTGCCAGATCCCCTACCAGACAAGGTAATTCGTTTTTAACTTAACATTCTCTTTGGGGCTCTCAAGAGGGTTCATAGCAATTCTTGAGAGGCTTTTATTTTATATTATCGAGGGTCTGCTATGTCCAAGCACTGTGTTAAGAGCTTTACAGATGTAACTGATTTCATCCTCTTAACTGCCTCTTGCATTGCTTCTGCTGGTTTTCAGATGAGCAGACTAGGGCCCAGGGGCCTGAGTGGCTCGCCAGAGGTCAGGCAGCCTATGTGGCTGAGCCACAGTTCCCATCCCAGATGTGCTAATTCCTCAGGCCTCTGCCATTCCTCTATCACATACTGCCTCTTTAAATTCCCCAACTTAGGCTCTTAATCTGTGAAAATGCGTCACAGTCATGATGCCAAACTAAGGTTCTTGTATTTTAGGTTATTTTTAGTTGCTCACCTGCCAGCGTATATTTAAAGAATCCACAGAAAGGAATTAGGTAACTGCGTAAGCTGGATCTTGTTCTTGTTGATTCTGCATATAAAACTCTCAACATACCCTGGGACAGACTCAAATGTCTTGGGTGTGAATTGCTCAGATATTGCAATCAGTGCATGTTATTTAAAACCTCCAGAAAATGCATGTTAAAGATGATTGTCGTATGGAGGAGTAAGAGGCAGAGGTGTGACTTACGTTGAGAACACAATGTAGACAGCTATGAATTGGAGTCTCCATGGACCCCAGGGCAGGATCTAGGGTATTTAGTCCAGGTCTGCATTCGGTTTAGTGACATCTTGCACTCTCCTTGCATGGAATTTGGGCTTAATGGAAGATTCTTGAATGAATGCATTAGTGTTTGTTAGTCTGTACTATGTGTTATTAGCTTAGCCCAATGTAAAGAAATAGAACAATGCCCCATATAGAGGTCAGTTTACTATTTAAATAGACTATTTTGAGCAAACCTAAGACCCTGATAATAGATGTAAAATCTACATTCCCTGTATATAGCGGAAAATCAATAAATATTTAATTTTCACTAGCTATTTGAGTGAGAAAAGTAAGTCTCTGACCCTCAAATAGTTGTCAGAAAGCCCAAGTACTTTATGCCGTGGGTGGGGCTGGACCAGAGTGCTCCCAGCGCAGACCTTGACTAACTGTAGCTGATCAGAAATGCTGAGAGATGAAGAGGAAGGGCAGGTGCTAGGAGCAGACAGAACAGCAATGGAAAGGGCAGCTAACTGGACCTTCTACTTCATCTCTGAGCAGACACTTCTCAAGCAGCCCCACACAGGTCAGCACTGAGCATTTACACTTGGCGATTGACGACTGGACCTGATTCAGCTAGAAATACTTGTTGGGTTTAGTATAATCTGCTGAGAAGAGCAGGACAGCATCTAGTATATTTTAGAGAGAGTGTTCATCCTTCCAACTTTCCTTCCCTCTGTCTTCCAACTGGCTAAAATAACACTATAGCCACTACCGTCCTAAGCTTTATTTAGAAAATTTACTTACGTGGACTCTCTCCTTTCCCCAGTATTGTCAGAAAACTGTGACTTTACTGTACTCTTCATAGACTTTCATTTTTGGTATTTAGAAGTTACAATTTAAGACTGTCGTCTAATATATACAAGTTACTGGCTTAAAATTCTGTTTAGTATTTCTGTTCAAAATGATATGTTACTACTTAGAGTTTGGTATGAAGCCAACTTTACAGGAGTGTTGAGTTTAGCAGATTCTTTTGTTGTTGTTGTTGCTTTTGTTTTCTTTTGTGTGCCATGTAGGTTACAATGGCCGACCAAATGTAGAAGGGAAAGTGCTTCCTGGTAGTAATGGGAAACCAAGTGGACAAAGAATTATCAATGGCCCTCAAGGAACAAAGTGGGTAGGGTAAACTTCTTTACACATACCGGTTGTTTTCACGCTGTTGGGAAGAGAAAAATGGTGGGCAATAAATGAAATGGTCTTTCGTTTTTCTTCTCCAGTTTTAACCACTCATATGTCAATATATTCTTATATTGCTTCTTCCATTGCTCAGAAAGATCTTTTATTCTCCTGAATAATTAGTTTGCTTTCTTCTCGTAGCTAATATGATAAGTGGGCCCTTTATTTCCTGTTTGCTTTGACTGGTTAGGAAGATCACACAAATGTATGTTCCAACCCCACAGCAATTACATAGACCCTGATACTTAGCCCCTTAGTATATGTGCTGCCGAAGCGAGCACGATACTTAGCCCCTTAAATGGACTTCTTTTTCTCCACCTCTGATAGCTTCATTTTATCTTTATTCTTTGTCATTTGATCAACTAGTATACACATTTTTCTGTAAATTGTCCCATATCCTTCATAAAAGAAAGCAGGGTAAAAACAAATGAACAAACCAAAAAACCCTGGATCAATTAGGCAATTTTTATTAGAGCACCTTTGAATTTTCCAACAATCGTTGTTCGACCGAAACAGAAAAATAATTATTAGTATTTTATAATGCGTTTAAGCTAAATGACTTTAACTTCCCGGGGTTAAATGTTTAGGGGTTTTTGGTAAGTTAGAGGGTAATGGGCAGAACACTTTTACAATGTTCAAGGATTTAAAAGATTTTTTCAGAGAATCACAAAATTATTCATATTTTGACTAGGAATTCCCAGTCAAAATTTCCCCTTTATAGCAGTAAGATTTAGGAAAACATATTGAGAGACTTTATAAAATTTTTGGTCACAGGTAACAAGGTATACTTTAACATTTTTCAAAGGAGCAGGAATTTATAAAGTAAGAATGTATATTAAAGTGAAATATCATTCAAACAATTTTGCATTGAAACAGTATGGAATAGAGTTCAAAAGAAGGGTTTATATAAATACATTTTATTTTAGCATCCAACAAAGTGGCCTTTTGGCAGGGGTTCCTCCAGTGGCCTGCTGTGCAGAGTCATGGTTCTCAGACATTATGGAGCATCAGAGTCTCTGGGGGCTTGTCAAATAAGCTCTGGGGTAGAGCTAGGTAATTAGCATATCTGTCAAGTTCCCAGGGGACGCTGAGGCTGCTGGTCCAGGCCACACTTTGAGAACCACCAGTGTAGAGCATGAGCTTGTTCCTTAATAGGGATAATAATAGCTTCCCCCCTCCCCAAAGTATTACAATTCCTGAGAATATGACATTTTTGCCTGTGTTCTATATTAGGCAATTTAATTGCAAATTAAATTATTTTTGTTACAGCAACTTCAATTTTTGACATTAACAGCCAGATGGAAACATTTCATGTTTTTAATACACTAGCAATACATGTTCATGGCAAGAAGTTAAAACAATTCAGAAATATGTGAAAAAGATAGTTTCTTTTTTTAAAAAAGATTTTATTTATTTATTTGAGAAAGAGAGACAGAGAGCATGAGAGGGAAGAGGGTCAGAGGGAGAAGCAGACTCCCTGCTGAGCAGGGAGCCCGATGTGGGACTCGATCCCAGGACCCTGGGATCATGACCTGAGCCGAAGGCAGTCACTTAACCAACTGAGCCACCCAGGTGCCCTGAGAAAGACAGTTTCTAAGCTAATCAACATCCCAAACCACTCCCCAGAGATAACTACTGCTAACAGTTTGGGATATGTCTGTCCAGATTATTTTTCTCTGCAGTTTTAAGCTTATATACACAAATGAATATATTTTTATTTCTGCAAAATAGTCAGTTCATAGCAGCTGATGTCAATATATGTAGAATTTCCAAATCCTTTTCATTGGCTGCTAGCATTCCACTGTGTGAATGGGCCATATTTTATTTAATCCCTTCCTTCCATTGATGAACACTTAAGTTGTTTGCTGCTTTTCAACATTACACACAGCGTACTAAATGGTAGCAGTATTATGAACATCTTTTGCATATTTGAGAAACTTAATTTATACATTCTATGGTTAAGTAATTATAATATGAAATGGGACGGTTTTGCACTTTATTCTTTTATTTTATTTTATTTATTTTTTTAAAGATTTTATTTATTCATTTGAGACACAGAGATACAGAGAGAGAGACAGAGAGAGAGAGCATGAGCAGGGAGAGAGGCAGAGGGAGAGGGAGAAGCAGGCTCCCGGCTGAGCAGGGAGCCCGATGCGGGACTCAATCCCAGGACCCTGCGATCATGACCTGAGCTGAAGGCAGACGCCTAACCCATCTGAGCCACCCATGTGCCCTGCACTTTATTCTTATTAAGCCTTGTGAATGATGTGGACAGAAATAATGTTTCCTACTCACATTATGGTTTCCTTCTGTGGAGGCTTCTTGGATATGTTCGTGTAGGTGGATTCATGCTCAGTATATTCTTTAATCTGTGTCATGGATTTAGGTCGTCGATCTCGATCGTGGGTTAGTGTTGAATGCAGAAGGAAGGTACCTCCAGGATTCACAAGGAAATCCTCTTCGGATTAAACTAGGAGGAGATGGTCGCACCATTGTGGGTAAGTGAGAATGGTTTTTAGGCAACAAAAAGTGTTCTGAATTTGCTATAAGATAACCCCCTGCCGATTTTTAATGGGGACCCTCGGTCCAGTTACTTTTAACCATGTGGAAAGGAGTTTTCCAAAGGGGCAGAACTTAGCTTTTCCCCCAATACAACCGTAGTTCTACTCTTCCTACAGATTCCACCCTCCACAAAAAGTTGGTGCTTGAGTTCCTTCTTGAGATAGGGCAGCCCAGAGCAGCAGGGGTCTGCAAACGACAGCACGGAGACCAAACCCTGTCTGCTGCCTGTTTTTGTACTGCCTGTGAGCTCAAAATAGTTTCTTCCCTTTTAAATGATTGCAAGAAAAAAATACCAGAATAATAATATTTGTGACATGTGAAAATTATTTGAAATTCACATTTCAGTGTCCAACCCAAGTTGTACTGGAACATAGACACACTCATTTGTCTGTGTACTCTCCGTGCTTTTTTGCCCTACAATGGCAGAGTTGAGAAGCTGCAACGTGAAGCTTAAAATACCTGGCCCTCTATCTTCTCTGGTGCTTTACAGAGTAAGTTTGCCACCCCAGGTACAATGTAACACTCTTCCTCCTTAGGTGTAGGAATCAAGAGGAGGAAAGAGTTACTTTCTTGACTAGAGACCAAGAGTTATTTCAGGGTAATGGGGCATATCAATGAAGTATTTACAGGATTATATAAGGTAATATAGAGTAAGGGACAATATAAGAAGCCCAGAAATTTCTGGATGGCAGCAGATTATTGCTACCTCTGCTGAATATCCTTTTAATGCTTCCTTTGCCTTTTACGGATTCGAATGTAAGAATCCATAAGCTTTGAGAAGACACTTTGCGTTTGGTTTTTACTTCCTCTGGATGATCTCATCTCGTCGCACAGCTTTTGTCTGCTTTTGTTTCAGATCTGGGAGGGACCCCGGTGGTGAGCCCAGATGGCCTGCCCCTCTTTGGGCAGGGGCGGCATGGCAAACCTGTGGCCAGTGCCCAGGATAAGCCCATTCTGAGTCTTGGAGGGAAGCCTCTGGTGGGCTTGGAGGTTGTCAAAACAACCACCCATGCCCTCGCTCCAACTGCACGACCTACCACGACGACCCCGAGGCCCACAACCACCACCACCCGCCCAACCACCACCATTCGAACCACTACGCAGACGACCACCACCACCCCTGAACCCACTACCCCCATTCCCACCTGTCCCCCTGGGACCCTAGAACGGCATGATGAAGATGGCAACCTCGTAACAGGCTCCAGCGGGGTCCCCGAGTGCTACCCTGAAGAAGGTAACGACCTTCATGGTAATGGTGGCCCATGTAACTAGCGTGCTGCATTTCCGAGTCGGGTCACAAAGGCTGCAGGGAGGGGTAAGTAGGATACACGGTGGAATGGTGACTAGAGGCATTTCCCGTCCCACAAGGTTCGTTCAGGGTTGTCAGATTTAGCAAATAAAAGTGCGGCATGGGACATACTTAATATGAAAAAGTTTTCGCTGTTCATTTAAAATTCAAATCTAAGTGGACATCCTGTGTTTTCTCTGGCAACACTTATCGCAACCCAAGTCAAAAAATTTAGCTAAAACATGGAATATTATGAATATGGACGAGCATTTCTCCAAGTGTATATTACTGGACATTAGTAGATTTGTATGCGTTATAGTTAAAAAAAAGGTTCTGTGATTAGCTGTGTGATTTAAACAAGGCTAATGATTTCTGACTGTTGGATTATTCAGATCCCTGAATAGTTTCATTGTGAATTTCCAAGGAAAGTAGAGTGTCCTAAGCTCCTTTGTCAGATGAACGCCTTCTTGATCCACTCTCACTTTGCAGAATGCTAATCCTTGAGTAGCTGGGCTCTGGTGGCAGCAAGGGTAGGACTGCTTTCTACTGGGTAGGACTGCACTGTTTCCTCCGCTGTGGGGCACCAAGTCAGGACTGTCCTCTGCCCCTTCCATGTCTTCCCGCTGAGAATGGCCCGTTCCCCCTGAAGAATGGAAGCGAGGAACCTTCGGTCAGGTTCCCATGGAGCTGCAGAGTCATCATCTTTTCTGCTCAGTCCCTGTTCAGGCTGTTTTGGAAGAGGTCATTCTGCATTGGTGTCCGGCTCAGAGGAGAAAAATTCATCTTCTTTCCCTTAGGTGGAAAAGAATCACCATGTAGGCTGTAACACTTAACGTCTTTTTAAGCTGATACAGAGTGAAGGCGCTTTGTTTCAGGAATTATTTTGCACACCTGGAATTCTTTACATAGCCTTGTTGACCGTGATAAGCTTGAACTTGAATGCTGTATTCAAAATGGGAATTCTGTTTGAAGTCCGTTTCCTGCAGAAAAGCTCCAAGTAAACAGGAACATTGTACCCATCTAAAAATTCACACCAAAGGATAAGGAACCATGCTGAGAGGAGGGCCGTTGGGAAGAAGATTTGCAGACTATCATTTTCCCCAGTGAGCATGAATTGGAATTTACCTTTGGACTTCTGGTATGAAAATATTATGTACTTTCCTTGACCTTTCACTTCTGCATACATTGATGTGTTTGTTTGTTTTTTTAAATCAAAGTATAATTGGAACAGATATTTACTAAATAATTGTTTGCAAACAGGAGAGTGACTGTTTTGGAATTGGATGGAATTACTGCTATTATTATGAATATTTTTCATTTTCTTTTGTCTAAGAGGGCTTATAGCATATTCTTTTCATTTACTTTGGATTTTTGGGCTTTTATTTGGCATGAAAGTCAATGGTTTTATTGGTATTTTTGTTTCTTCTTCTTCTCCTTCTTCTCCTCCTTCTTCTTCCTCTTCTTCTTCTTCCCCTCCTCCTCCCCCTCCTCCTCCTCCTCCTCCTCCTTCTTCTTCTGGAAAATCATGATGTATTTGTATGTTTTTCACTTCACTTATGTCATCTTTCTACTTCCCTAGCCCAGGCCGAATTAGTAACCAAATATTAATTATAATTTGCCTCTAGGCAGCATTTTCAAAATAAGTACAAAACAATACAAAGTGTTGGGAACAAAGTAAATTCGTGGAGAGCAACATATAATCTTTATATAATGTTATAATGTACTATAATTATTATTTTAAAAATATTCCTGTATGGCCAGTCTTCCTTTTTTATTTATGCTGCTCCACTAACAACTTAATTTTCTTCCTTGTATTAATTCTAATCATAGTTATTTTTATTTAAAAAATTTTAAATTATAGCTTTCTTGAGATTCAATTCACATACCATAAAGTTCACCCTTCTAAAGTATACAGTTTAGTGGTTTTTAGTATATTCAGAGTTGTGCAATCATCACCATTATCAAATTCTAGAACACTTTCATCACCCCAAAAGAAACTCCATACCCATCAGCTGTCACTCCTCATTCCCCTGTCTTCCTAACCTCTGGGTAACCACAAATCCACTTTCTCTCTCTATGGGTTTGTCTCTTCTGGACGTTTCATATAAATGGAATCCTATATGATATGTGGCCTTTGTGTCTGGTGTCTTTCGCTCAGCATGACTTGTGTTCAAGTTTCATCCACGTTGTAGAGTAGGTCTGTACTTTATTCCTTTTACTGCTGATCAATATTCCATTGTGTGGATAAACCACATTTTATCCATTTATTGGATGATGGACATTTGGGTTGTTTTCACCTTTTGGCTCTTATTATGAATAATGCTGCTAAGAACGGTGTGTACAATTTTTTTTAACACCTGTTTTCAATTCTCTGGGGTATATACTCAGTAAGAGAGTTGCTGTGTCCATGGTAACTCTGTGTTTAACTTTGGTAGGAATTGCTAACCTGCTTTCCTTAGTGGCTGCACCATTTTACATTCCCACCATCAGCATATGAAGCTTCTGATTTCTCCACATCCTCACCAATGCCTGTGCTTTTCTGTCTTTCTGATCCTCGCCATCCTAGTGGGTGTGAAGTGGTATCTCTCGGTGGTTCTGAATTCCGGTTCCCTAATAACTAATGCTGTTGACATGATGACTTTGTATACTTTCCAATGATAGATTCTGAAAGGGAAAGCGAGCAGGATTACATCTGGTGCCTTAGGTCAGCCCTGATGTAGAATTGAGTAAATTCATCTGACAAATGTTTCATCTTTATCATTGTGGCGGTGATGTCATTACGAGAAAGTTCATGTGGTAAACTAGAAAGGATGTTTTTGTTATTCTGGCTTCATTCAAAATTTTATAAATTAAAATTGGCAAATAATGATTAATCATCTAGTGCCTGTGAATCAGGTTCTCTGGGAGATACAGAAGAGCCGTAGGTGGCCTGCTTCTGCCCCTGAAGGGCTTGGGATCAACCTGAACATACAGTAGATAGAAACAACTCACTCTCTTGTCAGAAAACCAAATTTTCCATCTTTATTTTTTTTTTAAGATTTTATTTATTTGTTTGAGAGAGAGAGAGAGAGCGCAAAAGCAGGGGGTGGGAAGGGCAGAGGGAGAGGGAGAAGCAGACTCCCTGAGGAGCGGGGAGCCCGATGTGGAGCTCGATCCCAGGACCTCCAGATTATGACCTGAGTCAAGGGCAGACACTTCACCGACTGAGCCACCCAGGTGCCCCCCAAATTTTTCCTCTTTAAAATAACACAAGACAGGGTAAAGATTGTTTTGCAATAACCCAGAGAGCTCTTCAGGCCTGAAGCCTCGGTGTCTCCTTGGACTTCTCTCATCTCATTGCCAGGACTCATTGCCCACTCACTCTTCCTCCACCACGCTTCCTTTTTTTTCTTAAGTTTTCATTTTAATCACCAGCTGCTCAACATGACAAGTTCACTCCTTAATCCCCATCACCTATTTTACCCACCCCACCCCCACCCACCTTCCCTCTGGTAACCATCTATTTGTTCTCTAGAGTTAAGAGCCTGTTTCTTGCTTTCTCTCTCTCTCTCTCTCTCTGTCTTTTCCACTTTTCTTGTTTGCTTTGTTCTTAAATTCCACATATGAGTGAAATCATATGGTATTTGTCTTTCTCTGACTGACTTATTTTGATTAGCATTACACTCTCTAGCTCCATCCATGCCATTGCAAATGGCAAGATTTCATTCTTTTTATGGCTGAGTAATATTCCGTTATATATCTGTCCACTTCTCTTTATCCATTTATGTATCGATGAACACTTGGGCTGCTTCCATATCTTAGCTGTTGTAAATGATGCTACTATAAACATAGGGGTGCATGTATCCCTTTGAATTAGTGTTCTTGTATTCCTTGGGTAGATACCCAGTAGTGCAATTGCAGGATTGTAGGGTAGTTCTATTTTTAACTTTCTGAGGACCCTCCATACTGTTTTCCACAGTGGCTGCACCATTTTGCATTCCTACCGACAGTGCACGAGGGCTCCTTTTTTTCCACATCCTGGCCTCATCGTGTGTTTCTTGTGTTTTTTATTTTAGCCATTCTGACAGGTGTAAGGTGGTATCTCATTGTAGTTTTGATTTGCATTTCCTTGATGATAAGTGATGATGAGGATCTTTTCATGGGTCTGTTGGCCATCTGGATGTTTTCTTTGGAGAAATATCTGTTCATGTCTTCTGCCCATTTTAATTAGATTATTTTGTTTTTTGGTGTTGAGTTATATAAGTCCTTTATATATTTTAGATACTAACCCTTTATCAGATATGTCATTTGCAAATAACCTTCTCCCATTCAGTAGGTTGCCTTTTAGTATTGTTGATTGTTTCCTTTGCTGTGCAGAAGTTTTTATTTTGATGTGGTCATAATAGTTTATTTTTCTTTTGTTTCCCTTGCCTCAGGGGACCTTTCTAAAAAAAGTTGCTAGGGCCGATGTCAGAGAAATTACTGCCATGTCCTTTTCTAGGATATTTATGCTTTCAGGTCTCACGTTTAGGTCCTTAATCCATTTAGCGCATACTTTTTGTGTATGGTATAAGAAAATGGTCCAGTTTCAGTCTTTTGCATGTTGCTGTCCAGTTTTCCCAACACCATTTGTTGAAGAGATTTTCTTTTTCCCATTGGATATTCTTCCCTGCTTTGTCAAAGATTAATTGACCATAAAATTGTGGGCTTATTTCTGGATTTTGTATTCTATTGTATTGATCTGTGTGTCTGTTTTTGTGCCAGTACCATACTGTTTTGATTACTACAACTCTGAAGTCCAGAATTGTGATGCTTCCAGCTTTGTTTTTCTTTTTCAAGATCGCTTTGGCTATTCATGGTATTTGTGGTTCCATACAAATTTTAGGATATTTTGCTCTAGTTCTGTGAAAAATGCTGTTGGTATTTTGATAGGGATTGCATTAAATGTGTATATTGCATTAAATGTGTAGATTGCTTTGGGTACTATAGACATTTTAACAATATTTGTTCTTCTAATCCATGAGCATGGAAGGTCTTTCCATTTCTTTGTGTCATCTTCAATTTCTTTCATCAACGTTTTATAGTTTCCAGAGTACAGGTCTTTCAGCTCTTTGGTTAGGTTTATTCCTGGGTACATTATATTTTTGTTGCAATTATAAATTAATTCCTTAATTTCTCTTTCTGTTGCTTCATTGTGGTGTATAGAAATGCAACAATTTCTGTATATTGATTTTGCATCCTGTGACTTTACTGAATTTGTGTATCAGTTCTACCAGTTTTTTGGTGGAGTCTTTTGGTTTTTCTATATAGAGTATTATGTCATCTGCAAATAGTGAAAATTTTAAGTTTTTCCTTACCAATTTGGATGCCTTTTGTTTCTTTTTCTTGTTTGATTGCTGTGGCTAGGACTTCTGGTACTATATCAAATAGAAGTTGTGAGAGTGGACATCCTTGTCTGGTTCCTGACCTTAGGGGGAAAACTCTTAAGTTTCCCCCATTGAGGATGATAATAGCTCTGGATTTTTCATATTTGGCCTTTATTATGTTGAGGTATGTTCCCTCTAAACCTACTTTGTTGAGGGTTTTTATCATGAATGAATGTTGTACTTTGTCAAGTGGTTTTTCTACATCTATTGAAATGATCATATGATTTTTATCCTTTCTCTTGTTGATGTGATGTAGCACGTTGATGGATTTGCAAATATTGAACCGCCCTTGCATCCCAGGCGTAGATCCCTCTTGATCATGGTGACTGATTTTTTGAATGTGTTGTTGGATTTGGTTTGCTAATATTTTGTTGAGGAATTTTGCATCTATGTTCATCAGAGCTATTGGCCTGTAGTTCTCTTGTTTTGTGTGGTGTCTTTATCTGGTTTTGGTATCAGGTTAATGCTGGCCTCATAGAATGAGTTTGGAAGTTTTCCCTCCTCTTCTATTTTTTGGAATAGTTTGAGAGAAAAAATGTTAACCCTTCTGTAAACGTTTGGTAGAATCACCTGTGAAGCCATCTGGTCCTGG